CGATTGTATTTTTATCTTCTATTACTTACAGTCAATATTTAAATACTAGGTACATACATTTCACCCTCTCTTTATAACTTATCTAGTGAGTGTTGGTTTTTCATGTCATTATTTCTGTAATGAAATTGAAATGGTTATGAAATTAAATTTAAATTATTTGAAGTTTTCGAGTTTTGTAACTTCAATATTAAATTGTATTTAAAGTGAAACAGAGCTAATTTCTTTGCAGCCATAATAGTCACATTTGGTCAGATGAAAACTCGCACACTACTCGTCGGTTTAGCTTTCAGAGGAGATTCGGTGTCAATGTATGGGCAGGAGTATATGGCGATCATTTAATTGGGCCGCATTTTCTACCTGAACATTTGAATGGGCCGCGTTACTTTCAATTTTTAGTAGAAGGCTTACAGCAAATTAAAACATTATCACTATGATGTTAATAAAAAAAATTTTGTGTGAGTTGTTAGACAGTGATAAGGAATGAGAGGATGCGATGCCAAAACGTTCTGGTAATAATAGTTTATAAATATTTAATTCAAAAGTCATAAATAAACTTCTTCTGCTTATAACTTTTGATCTAATCAATATTTTTTGACGCTCGGGGGCTAGTTTTGTAGGTCTTTTGAAAACGAAAAAAATGTACTACTGTTTTCTCGTGGAAATGGACGGAAAAAAGTTATAAGCGAAAAACGTGAATTTACGTAAAAATTATACAATTAACCAGCCTGTAAACAATCTTCCCCCCATTTTTATGACTGTGGAAACTTATATGTTATTGTACATAATATTTAGTATCTATAGTGATAAATTCAGCTTGCCGAAGCAAAAAGTCGCGAAATGGTAATTTCCCAGCTTATTTTCCTGGCCTATAAATCCTTTTAATAAATAATAAAAACAAATTCAAATCACTGATTCCATTTGTAGAACCCACGTCTACGTAGTTATTTTATACTAAATTATTTATTAGTATTTTATTTATTTACTATTATTTTTATATCATACAGGGTGTTTAATAACTTTACCGGCACAGATCAAGCACTTGTGTGAAAACATGCCGATTTATTATGCAGCAAAAATTTTTTCTAGCCTGTACCGTTGAAGAGAAGTCGGCCTCTGTTAAATTTTGAAAAACAGTAATATCGTTCAAGTATTGGAAAAAAACGGAAAGAAACAATTAAAATTGAATCTCCCTGTTTTCCCGAGAGTAAATCGGTAGCGCCAAAGTTACAAAGTAATCCTTCAAAGGGTGCTCGATCTTAAATTATGTATGGTGTAATCTATCAACACGTATACTTTTACAGATTATCAGAGTATCCTTAACAACCACTTGTTCATCTTTCATCTATAAATATCGAATTATGGGATTAAGGAAAGTTACCAGACTTGCAAGGTAGCGAGAGAGCAAACTACTTAGAAGACGTAACAATTTCTGCAAGTAATCCCTACTAAAGTTCGATTTATACCGAAATCATAATTACGAAGAGCAGCAACTGTCGCTGAAGTGGTAAGATAAGCGTTATCCCCTCGAAAGAGGTTTTACCCTCATAAATACTGAAAATCGTCTTTTTTAGCTGTTAAAACGTTTCAATTATTTCGACTTACCCAAATTAAAAAAATTCTGGGCAAAGTCGTTGAAAGCTTTGCAGATTTCTTTTGGTAATTCTATCTAGAGTCAACGAACCGTGAAGGGCCAAACAGAGAGCGTAATATAAACATATTTCCGACACGCAAACTTCCATAACAAAGTGATATATTGAAATAATAGGACAGGACACGAAAACGTGGATTCATTTATCTAGGTCACATAAAAATTGGTGCCCAGGCTGTTCACAGCAACAATATAGACATCGTACAATACGATCTACGTTCTTACAGAAGAATATTCAAGTTAAAATAATCGACTGCCACGCTAAGTATATCAGGCGTCTAGAGAAATGTCCTTTATTGCTTCCGGTTTATCTTTAAAGGAAACAAAATCCTAAAGTCACCGCAGTTGAGTCCAGCTGTAAATACGGGAAACGGCGAATCCACAAATTCTCTGCATGCTGTGAATCGTCCAATATAGACGTCGAAATCGCCTAGACTAAGCTGTTTGCTTTTACGAGTTGCTCGAACTACACGTTTTCAAGATATTGATCCGATCTATGTAGGGTGATAAAAGCAAAAGAAACCTCTAATTTGTAATTAATATTCCAAGATCAAAAATTTTGTACCACGTGTGGTGAGTTTGTTCTTACCACACTTGTGTTTTGCAAATTCACCTTCTCCTTTTGGGAAAAAATATAGCTATGTCGTAACTGTTATACAATATATTATTGGGATACCTTTTTCAGTGCTACATTTATTTATAGTAATCTAATGATAATCCGAATAAAACTTGTTATTTTTTCTCCAACTGAAATCCCCCTTCATTATTAATTTGGACTTTGAAATTATTCAAACCAAATTTGTCGCCATATCGCTAATTGAGTTCATTTGTGATTGTTTGTGGTTCAATTTGCTGAACACTCTTCTTTCTTCTTTTTCTTTGAATCTCCTTCCAAAGAAATTTCAAAAATTTATGAATGTGTCTACCAACGTTTTATGGATTAGTGCGAAGAAAAAGACATTAAGTTGTATTCAGAAGAAGTATTGATGATGTATTTCTCAAACTTAGTAAATAAAATGAAGCCGTCAACGCTTTGGTCACAATATTCCATGTTGCGGTCAATGTTGGATATAAAGAATGGGATATAAGTAAATATTCAAAGTTACCTACGTATTAAGAGACAAAATGAGGGATATGTACCGAAAAAATAGCGAGTATTTACAAAGGAGCAAGTTGATTGCTTTTTGAATAGTGCACCTGATAATTTATATTCGATGATGAAGGTAAACGCTTTAAAAATAAAGGAACAAAGTTTTTAAAAAGTTTCTTTATAGGTTGTTCTAATATTGAGGGTTGCAGGCGCATGCCATTCTGATGAATTAGTCAATTTAACAATTGATAATGTTGAAGATGTGAAATTCGCCTTAATTATAAAAGTTCCCAATACCAAAACCAAGAGACCACGTTCTTTTACTGTGCTGGGACACAATTTTTTAAGTTTTTATCGAAAATATGTTGTATGAACAAAAATTTTTGTAAATATTGTCGAATAAACTTTTATTAAAACTTTATTAACACTTTTAATCTAAGGATTAAAAGTGTCAACTATAGCTCCTAGGATTAAAAGTGGATAATTTTGTTGCTAAGATACCATTTTTTTCAGTAAGGAAAATGTTAACCTTAGAGGCTTCTGACAGTCAAAAAATGTCATAGTTTTCTGACAATTGGAGGAAAAAACGATTAGCATTTAGATTTTTTTTTCTTTTTCCACTGGCATCACAATTTTATTGTCATTTTCTTCTGTATATATGTTATATTTTTATATGTAAATCTTTAGGTAGGTACATTTATATTTGTAATTTGCCATTTTTACCATCTATTTTAACGTGTCTCATGTCAATTATTGCTATTATTATTAATGTTGTTTCTGGTTGTATTATGAATTTACTGTTATTATTATTTTTAAATATTTGTGCGTGATTTTAAATATTCGTGGGTAATTAATGACATCTGGGTGACCGGTAAGAATAATGAAAGTGCAGGAATGTAAATTTTTCGAGAACTGACATTTTTTTTAATTGTTAACTAATTTGTCAAAAAGACATTCCAGTTGACTAGAAGTTCTAGGAAGTATTTTTCGTATTTATTACTTACTAATTTAATCAAATAAATTGCTTCAATAACATGACAATTTCGGAAATTTATTTATTTTAATTTAACAAATTTTGCGCCACAAATTAATCAACCATTATTTTCTCGATTCAAAAATTGCAAATTGAAGTCAAACTCAATATTACAGTAGTACAAGGTAAACATAGTTTCCTAAAATGCCTTTTGGGCACTTAGGAAACATAATACAGACACGCAAAACACAAAAAAGTGGACTGAACTGAAAACGAATCAGTTATATTTTGAAAAACTTTATTTGAACCAGATAAAGTCTTGTCTTATGTATTTTAATTCACTCAACACTAGTTAAAAATATGAAGAATCTCTAGAAAATCACTTATTTGGAAATTTGCACCAAAGGAAGAAATTTACTTGGACCAGTCTAAGCCTTATTCCAGTAGATTTTGCTACGCTGAATACGATTGACACTGACAAGAAGACCAGAAGTGATTGATGGTGATGATAAGCATGTTAGAGTCTATTCCAAAGAAGGGAATCGGAAGCAGAGATAAAGTTGAAGCGGAAAAAGGAAATAGAGAAAGTGAAACAAAAGAAAGTGGGGATGAATACGTAGGTGAAACAAAACTTCCAGATCTACTTCATCAGGAAAAGTTGAGTGATTAGAAAAATAGGGCTTCCAAAAGATGCGGTTGAATTTTTGGCTGTGGAACTGAAAAATCGAAGATTGGTGATAACCGAAGGCAAATCAACAATAAAGAAGACGTTTTGCTTTGAAATACTTATATTGGAGAGCCCAGGAAGCTTAGACAGTGTCAAATTCGTGTTCAACTCTTCAAAATACATTGAAATAAGACTTCGCTCAGTGAATATTTTGATATGCGGTGTTCTAACGATTTTTCGTATTTTTCAGGAGATATTTCTCAAATAAGTCGATTAAGACTTCATCTGGTCCAAATATTTTTTTTCAAAACTTTGTTGGCGCCCATTAGTCGGCTTTGTCATGATTTTTCAGGATGTTCAGCAATTTTTTGCGATCTACTCAAATCCTGTGAGTGTTGGGGTAAAACTAACAACAGGTTCGTATAATCTAGTGGGGTCACCAGGTCAGCCCACTTTTTTTTGACTTTGTGTGTCCTTGAAAATGTCAGCAATTTAGAAAAAATACCACTCTGACACGAGGCGTTGCAAAAGGCCCCCTCAGCAACGCTTCCCACGACCATTCCCATGCGACGTTTTCAAATTCGGACCCTCATTGAACTTTTTCCTTCCAGGTGACCCGGAGGGAACCGCCGACATGCGCTTCACGATCCAGCCGGCCCCGGGGGAGTCGGGCTTCTCGCAGTGGGCGGCCGCGATGAAGATGGTGGCCCAGCTGCCGGGCGGCATCCCCCCCGAGTTCCGCAGAAGGCTGTGGCTGACCCTTGCCGACAGGCACCTGGCGTCGCGCGGAGTCGACTGGCCCAAAGTGGAACGGTCCTGCTTCAGCGAGTGGTCGCACCCCGACGACGCCGAGCTGGGGGTGCAGATCGTCAAGGACCTGCACCGCACCGGCTGCAGCCTATTCTGCGGCGAGGACGGCCAGGAAAACCAGGCGCTGCTGAAGAGGGTGCTGCTGGCCTATGCCAGGTGGAACAAAGCAGTAGGTAGGCATACGCTTTAAGGTTGGTACTAAAGCGGGAAAGTCGCGTTCAATTTGCATTGAATTATACTGGAGCACAAAAATAGTCGTGACAAAGTAATAGGCAGTAGAGGCATCATAAATTGAAAAATATTAATAGAACAAAATTATAGACCGGGAGATATTAGACTGAAGTTCGACGACGTCTTTCTCGTTTATGCCTCTGAGAGTACTGAAAGGTAACCGAGAGACAAGTACAATAAACTAAATTTAAAATATGGGCTGCGGGACACCTTCGTGAAAATTCAATTTTCCTTTTCAAAAAAATAATGTGTACAGCGACGTATTTCTCACTTATGCCATGTTCGTAAGTTGAAGAGAAGTATCGATTTTATCACGAAAT